GAATACAAAGTTATGATGAAAACACTGAAAGAAGGTGCAGCTGCCTGTTTAAAACAAGAAATTCCGTTACATAGTTCATTAAAACAACAAATTCCGTTACATAGCCACTTTTAATATATAGAAGATATATATATATATATATAGAGTTATGGTCCCCAGATCACACGTAATTGTTCATTTTGATCTGACTCCCATTATCAGAGAGAAACAAATGAACAACGTATTGATCTGGAATACTAAAATCATAGGATTCATTCATTGTATTAACCATGTCCGATTCGGTATGCTTCCGCTTTGGTTCATGAATTCTTGATGGTCCAACATGATAGAACATTATGTCGGTAACAAATTTTCCCAACAAAGAATGCAAATTTCCTTATTAATTTCTTCGTCTTTTGATTAACTTGTACAAATTGTTAAATTAATAGTTATTTGAAGAAATAAAATGGTACGCAGTTCACAAAATAAAGCGAGACCTTTTCATTCATGAAAGCATTGAGAATTTAATAATTTCATCAGGAGGTATAATTGTCTAGACAAGAAGTCACTTTCGTCATGATTTCTAATTTGGTAGCTTAATCAATTTGAAATTTGCATCTGACTCAATTTTTTATTACAAAATATAAACTTAATTTTTAATATTAGTATCATTATGTTTGAACTTTGAAGCCAGTTTTTCTACGTCGCCGTCCAGTTCAACTGTCTGTCGAATCGAGTGGTCCATTGATTTGACTTTGGTTCTTTTCAATTAGCCCCCGTTTGTTTCACATTAAAATTATAATACATTTTATTTCTCTTCTTTTCAACCACATATTTTTTAATAAAATAATATTGCACATAAATCGAAAACTTTTCATTCTCTTTCAACCACTCATTCTCCAAATGTTCGGTGGTTCGATCCATTATTCTTTCTATTGGATTCATAGTTTTTCAATTTTCAACTATATATTTCATTAACTTATATCAAAATCTACTAAAATTTTTATTAAAAGCTTTCAACTTTACATTGAATTAGGTAAAAATCCTCGAAAATAATCAAATATTTATCAAGTTTAAAACGTGTATAATACATTAATCAAATGACCTTGCTATTGTAGTCACATTCCAATAACTGGAAATTCGAGCTCAGCCTTGGACAACGTTTTATTGCTAGTTGCTTCAACTGATTTCTTGACATGTAAGTTTTTCTTTTTTTTCCCCTGAAGTAACCGCTTTCACATTTTGTAAGAGGAATATATTTTATGATATTTATTTTTTGCATATGCTGATTTTATATCTTATTGCAAGGGATTATTACCTTGTACAATTCACGATACCATAAACTGAATTAGAAATAAAATCAAAATAACCTAACCCAAAATAGAAAATTGCATTTCCCAAACGTGACAATTGCAGACCATGATGTAAAATAAAGATTTCATGTCACATAATATACAGCACAAATTTCCTTAGCAAGGAATTACATTCAGGCCCGTTTGTTTTGGATTAAAATCAGATTTTAATCTCAGTCAAAATCAAACAATCAATATTAACCACATCTTTCATGGGTCTCACAGCTTTTCAACCACACATTTCAAAAACTTCTATCACAATATACTAAAAATCTAATTTTAATCTCCACCAAACACCCACTCATACAGAACAAAACCAGGACATACAAAACTTACGCCAAACAAAATCATAAACAAAAACTATAATACACTTACCATTAAAAATAATTAAACTGTGGTTATTTTTCTTCAGCAGTGAAATCTGGTTCAGCTGGTTTCTGAAGCAGTATGGGCGATATCCTGTCTGGTATTCTCGCCTTCTTCGTACCATTGCGTCGCAGAAGACGAAGAGCATTTGCCGCAAATCGTGAAGCATAAATGGTTGCCCCTAAACTAGGCGAACTTCCACCACCCTTTACCAATGCATCTTTCAATCTGTTCTCCTCCTCCCAGAGAGACTCTTCCAGTTTCTTCCTATAGTACCGGCGCCATGCTGCTTGTATAAAACATGCTGCCCACGTCCTCCACTGCTGTGAGTAAAACCTAAAAGAATGACGGAGCTGTTTACTGTGTAGTCGTCGGAATTGAGAGGCTACAAACTTCAAATCATCGGCCATTAGGGCAAATGCTTCGACTTCTGCGAGGGCTCGCACAGTTCTGGTTGAGATTGGGAGGTTGGCTGACGAATGAGGGTCGAGCGCCCATGTGAGGAGCTCTTCCCCACAAAAGTCACCACCTTTTAAATAATCAGAATTTAAAAAGCCAGTCCTTCCACCATTTGTTGTCACCGTCAGCAATTTTCCACGTATTATAAACAGCATCTCATCAACCGGATCACCCTCCCGCACTATGAAGCTATCCTCAGTGTAAAGCACGGGTTTAAGACGGTCACACAATGCATCCAAAAGTTGTTCATCCATTTTTTCAAACATAGGGACCTAAAACAAAGTTAAAATAACAGATATAGTTTTTTGTGAGCACTTAATTACAAAATCTAGATACTAGTCTATCACAAGAGAAGATGCAGGACGCAGAAATTAATAGTAGGCATATGCTTGCTATTTGGGCACTATTATCATCCCTCCTTCCTCAAATTGGATCAACAAGAACGATACTAAGAGCATGTTTGGCTAAGCTTGAAGGTTTTACTTGTAAGTAAATACGTTTTAAAATTAAATTAAACTTTTTTATTGGTCAAAGTTAGAAATGTGAGCGTTAGTTATTTTTTCAAGTAGGGTAAAAGTTGCTTTTAAAATAAATAACTTTATTACTTCAAAATAATAAGAAAAAAAAATTAGAAGCAAAAGTAAATTTTTACATTCTTTGTAAGCTTAGATAAACATAACAAGCAAGTTGTTGGTCATTATCATAAAGATGAAGTTTATATTCTTTTTAAGGCAATCTGACTTCTGATAAACAAACAATCTCCACCATGATGAGATAATCAAGGAACAGAGGTCAACTCATACTTCATTATTTCCTTACTATGTAATAGAAAATAAGCTGAATGAAGAAGCACTTACTCTCTTAAGCAAAGCCAAGCATAGATGTCGCTTAATATCTCTCCTGAGATCCTTGGGAAGATTATGAATCAGATTTTCTTCATCAACGCCCCGAGTTTCCTGCCATTTGTATTGTTCATACCTCCTGATTCGTTCTCTCAGACTCTCAGGGAGCAATCGGTGAGACATCCATTGCTCTGCATCTCGCCTTTTGACCCTCATCTCCTCTAATCTTAGTGTTGTAGATTGCAGATACGTCTGTTACACAAATATTTGAAGTTCGTCAGAACTTTTTAATATGGTATTTGACCATTTTCAAAATCTAAATTATTTTATGAAAGACATTTGAGTGCCTGGCAATTTAAACCATACCAAGAAGATAACAAATTCATATGCATCAAGCCATTCATGTAAAGAAATAACTCACTCACCTGCATGTTTCCAATCAGAAACGCAAATAGCACCAGACCAGAGATAGAAATGAAAACTGCAAAGCAAATTTCCCAAACATAAGTACTTGTCTTGAGATTCTGACCAAGGGAACTGCAACATCAAACAAGAATAAATCACATGCTAAGTTAGAAACTATAGAAAAAGAATAAAGCTCAACCAATAATATGCCTAATCTCTATAATCACTCGATAATCATTTTCATGCACTTCCACTTTCGCACTGAAAATTGCTAACAGATACGAAACCAGAAGCAAGGAAGAAACCAAGTGGGATGGGGTGGGGGTTAACATGTGAACACAGAAAATCTAATGGGAGCTTACCTCAAATTCTGCAGGCCCCACCAGAAACAGTAAAAGAACTTCTGAGGAAAATCTGTTGATCCCACGACACCAGATTGAAGAGCATTAAGGAATATCCCAAAATCAAAAGAAGTACCATTTGATTCCTGTATAGGACAGGAGTTGTTCAAAAATTGTTTGAATCCGGTGTGATCAGCTTCACAATACAATGAAGCATGTCGACAAGCAGACTGACCCCTGCAAGCTTCCTTCCAGCAAGCAGTTTCACGTTCTACTGAAATCAAGTACCAAAGGGCTCCAATTACCTAAAAGGGTACCAAAAGTGAAATACAACATACATTAAAGGTCAACGTTTATAACAAAATATCATATCAAGCCTTAAAAGATGATGTAACGTTAAGAACATAGAAAGATGTGCAGTTGTTGCAGAACTTACATGACTGGCAAGCATGTAAAGAAAAAGGTTAAACGCAGCCCCAGCCCATGCTGTTTCAGTGAGTATTCCAGAAGTTCTAGTGACTTCTTTATACAAAGGATAGACTCGAAGAACCCTTGGTATGTATTGCAATGTCACGACAAATTTTAACAAATTCTTAGTGTTCAAAGATCTAGCACCATTCAGCTTGGGAATCACAATCAAAATGACAACCTGGGAAAGTTATAGGATGATCAGATTCCATACACTAATTCTACGAAAACAATAATCTTGACATGAATTGATTTTCGGAGACAATAAAGTTATGGAATGTCCTGCATGTCATTGATAATCACAAACAATTATATGCCACTGCACACGTGGATATGTCTCTTACCTGTGGGAGCGGAAGAACTGCAAGAATGTCAATTAAGAAGTAAGAAGACAAATATCTCTTTGCTATTTCCCAAGAATCTTCAACAAGAACACCTCGCCCGAACACACGTGAAGAAGGGGCAATGAAACCCGTACGAAATTGGAAGATAATGTGGATAAGGTAAAAGAAATCGGTGAAGGATCGTAATATACTGACTGTGGCCTCCAATGTTTTGTCCAAATCAAGGCATTTATCATCATCGTTTATGACAGGAATATAGAAAAACAAAGGATCCAAGGAGACAGCAATAAGACACGATATTACAAATATCTTGTTCCATTTCTGAAGAAAAGGTCCTTGTGGATCGAGAATTTTCTTACTAGATTCCCCATCTTTGGCTAGGAACCTTCTGGATGAGAACGATTTGACCGATTCTGTAAACTTTTGAAATTTTTCTGAGCCACTTTCCAGGCGACTATGGAATTTGTTGGAAACTGAGTGCATTGTTGATCTTAGTGTGCCCCGTCGCACTCCATCTTCAGCTGGATGTTGACCATCAAAACCTTTGTCCACTTTCCAACCCTGAAACCTGAAAAATAACAAATCAACTCAAACTAATTGTGCAACATCAAGGAAAAATACTGTCAAGAAGCCAGAGTAGAATGCGGCATCCCTCAGAAAAAAAAAAGTGCAACGACAGCTAATACACAGTTGTGGAATACATTGAACTCAAAAAAGAATTTCTGAAATAAGGCAGTTTTCCTTTCCTTGGTTCTTTATTTTTTATTTTTACATTGGCTAAGAAAGAGAAGACTGAAAAACCATGACGCGCATAAGTTCCTATCCTTAGAACTTCTACTAAAAGAAGGTCAAAGAATCATTGAATATATATTGGATACCTTGACTACCCAGTTATAAACCATCCGTAATATATAAAACAATATATTCTTGCTCAAACTCTCAAACAACCACCACCATCCCCTCTGGGCACCCTTTTTCCCCTTCTCTCTCTGGTGAGAATTGTGAGTTATTAGAATGCAAGGGTAAAAACTTCCTCTTGGAGTGTAGTAATTTCGCTTTCTTTACCCCCCGTATTCTATTTATTTTCCATTCATTTACCTACTTTCGAATTTTGTGAACAATAAACAAAGATTTCTTCCATATTCTGGCTCAAACCACTAGAAACTGCCATGTACAAGAAATTGAGTTGAAAGGATCATCAGAAACTAACCTCACGGACTTCTCTTGCCTGTAATTCATAGCTTCAGTTGACGTGAGAAAATACAGAAGCAGAATTCCAACCTCTGAAGTATGAAAAGAAATGACAAATACATGTATAATTTGTTTATGTAGAACCAAAGTATGATAAAGATCAGGCCCTGGAAATATGATTGTAAAACATTTATTACATCATCTTCAATGCCAAATTTAACCTTCAGAAGCAGGACATATAACCATATAAACCAATTTCATGCGTAAATTATATTTTGTCAAAAATTTAGATTTAAAGAAATATAAGCAACTAAAAACCAAAATATTCAACTTCAAAGAACTAGGTTTAAATTTCTTAAGTAAACACTACATTTACAATATCCAGAACTATACTCCCAATCCAATCATTAGTAGTAACGTAAAATAGCGACAATTACAAGCATACAAATCAATCATTCCAAAGCTCCAAAATATCGATAAATTAACCTTAAATTTAGCACTCTTATTTCAAACTCTAACTGTTCTCTAAATTCAATAATTTTATATCATAATTCACAACAATAGCGAATTAAAACCTCAAAAAAATAAAAAAAGACAGAAAGAAAATACTATTACTTTCTCCGAAACAATCAACAAAATTTCAACTTTAGTTGTCTTCTGCAATACGAAAAAACCATAACTATTCAAAAATTCAAACAATCAACCTCAAATATTTTAAAATCACAATCATCGCTCTTCCAACTTGACTTAGAATAGTAATAATAATAATAATGAACGCAAACTAAAGAATATGCGCTAAATCGTTTTTATATACTAACTCCAGACACATAAAATCACAAAGTAAAATACAGAATAAAAATAAAAATTGAAAGTATAATCACACGTACCGAAGTTAAGAGTTGTATAAAGAACAGAACACAAAGTCGTCTAATCACTATGTCTGTACTCGAGAGAGAGAGAGAGAGAGAGAGAGAGAGAAGTTTCCTGGAGGTTTCTCTTTCAGATTTTCGGAAGGATGCTTGAACAGTTTTGTCTTCTCAATTTGACTATTTCTATAAATACTTGTTGAATGCAAATTCTGTAATTTTGTATTTGTATTTTCTAAATTGATTTAGTCCACGGAAGTAAAATTGTGCACTTTTGAATTAAAATGAATGGGCGTAACTTCGACTCCGGTTCCCTTGGTGTCCGGTGCTTGCGGTTTCAACTGACAACGTGCCGACTGCAGCAACCACCAAAAGCATTCGTTGTACATTATGTAGGGCAGTGCTATACGTACATAAGATCACTACCAGAGAGTCACCGGATGAGCTGGCAGCACCTATCTCTTTCCATAAAATGTCTATATTACCCTTAATGAAATATATTGCAAGACATGTCCTGTATCTTTTAGTTATTAGATTGTTCAGGATTATATTTTACAATTCTTCCGTTTGGATCGTAGGTTCTCAGAATTAATTCTGCGAATCATAGTTCAATATTTTCTTGTAACCAAATCAAGTATCTTAGTTGTTCGTATTTATGATATCTTATAGTTTTTAGGATCTTATTCCACCTTTTTGTATTATTTTCTCTTCTAAATTCTTCAAGGAGTCTCCTAATTTCTCTAGATCTTAATTCATTGGTATTATCTTGGATCAGGCTAAATCTTTCAATATTTTCTCTTTCTTCTTGGTTCATTAATTAATTAATTACTATTTATACGATATTCCTTTAACATCTCAATTTGTTCTAAATATTCTCTATATTTTGTTAACTTTTCAAGAGCTCTAGTTTGATATTCTTTAGTTATATATCCAAGAACAATTCGTTCTGAAACTTCTTCTTCTATATTTTCATATTTAGTTATAACATCTTCTATCTTTTTTATTTCTTTACTAGTTTCTACAGAGTCAAAACCTTATATTATGTTTACAAGCATAATCATATCAAAATATATTTCTTTTTTCTTGGCCAACAGGAAATATATCTTCAGATTTTTCAACCATACTTAGTAAAAACGAAATATTTTTTCATTTAAATATAATTTAAGACAAAAATCATTGGATGTGGATGTTTGTGAAGTGTTCATAAAGATCAATAGTAATTAAAGCATAAGCGTATAAAAGCATGTAAATAACTTACAGTAATCAATGGAAATAACTAAGATTTCCCTCAGCATGTTCTTATAATTGTTTTGCATGTACTTAATCAATCTTCTTAATCAGATGAACATTAAAAATGTTTTGAAATCATTTGGGTCAACAACTGCTTCCGTAAAAGGCTTTTCAATTAAGGTTGCATTTCTCACTCTAGAGAACTAGCCGTGTTGCCACAGACGCTATCTCACAGTATCCAGAGTCTCTGTTTTCACCTCTATTCAAACTCTTTTCATACCACTCGGATTGACACCTCTAGGTAGTGCTGTACGTACAGAAGATCACTACTAGAAAGTAAGTCACCGGATGAGCTGGCAGCACCTATCTCTTTCCATAAAATGTCTATATTACCCTTAATGAAATATATTACAAGACATGTCCTGTATCTTTTAGTTATTAGATTGTTCAGGGTTATATTTTACAATTCTTCCGTTTGGATCGTAGGTTCTCATAATTAATTCTGGGAATCATAGTTCAATATTTTCTTGTAACCAAATCAAGTATCGTAGTTGTTCGTATTTGTGATATCTTATAGTTTTTAGGATCTTATTCCACCTTTTTGTATTATTTTCTCTTCTAAATTCTTCAAGGAGTCTCCTAATTTCTCTAGATCTTAATTCACTGGTATTATCTTGGATCATGCTAAATCTTTCAATATTTTCTCTTTCTTCTTGGTTCATTAATTAATTAATTACTATTTATACGATATTCCTTTAACATCTCAATTTGTTCTAAATATTCTCTATATTTTGTTTAACTTTTCAAGAGCTCTAGTTTGATATTCTTTAGTTATATATCTAAGAACAATTCGTTCTGAAACTTTTTCTTCTATATTTTCATATTTAGTTATAACATCTTCTATCTTTTTTATTTCTTTACTAGTTTTTACAGAGTCAAAACCTTATATTATGTTTACAAGCATAATCATATCAAAATATATTTCTTTAGGTTTTTCTTGGCCAACAGGAAATATATCTTCAGATTTTTCAACCATACTTAGTAAAAACGAAATATTTTTTCATTTAAATATAATTTAAGACAAAAATCATTAGATGTGGATGTTTGTGAAGTGTTCATAAATATCAATAGTAATTAAAGCATAAGCGTATAAAAGCATGTAAATAACTTACATTAATCAATGGAAATAACTAAGATTTCCCTCAGCATGTTCTTATAATTGTTTTGCATGTACTTAATCAATCTTCTTAATCAGATGAACATTAAAAATGTTTTGAAATCATTTGGGTCAACAATTGCTTCCGTAAAAGGCTTTTCAATTAAAGTTGCATTTCTCACTCTAGAGAACTAGCCGTGTTGCCACAGACGCTATCTCACAGTATTCAGAGTCTCTGTTTTCACCTCTATTCAAACTCTTTTCAAAATCAAGTTGTTACTTAGAACGAAATTTTAAAAGATAACTCACACGCAAGGTGTTACAATCTTTGTTAGAAAACTGTCATTTTCCCCTTAAACATTCATCAAAGATGTGTACTTTGGCATGGCTAACATCCATTCAAAACAATGTTTTGAAAATCTTTTAAAATCTCTATCTGTACTGCCGAGGAATCATGAGAAACTTAACGAAATCCTTTTGTGAAAACTTTGTTGAATATAACAAATTTCATCTTAATATTCATAAATTGAAATAGTACATGTTTGCATACTATATTTACATACATTTGGTACTCACATTATGAAGTTTAAAA